GTGTGTGTGTGATAGAGAGAGTGCCGTGTAAATATGTATTTGTATTTACTGGGGGAAAAAATCCCGAAAGCGACAAGTACATATCATTTAGCAATATTTTCCACAATAATATGGAAATGTATGCATAGTCTAAAAGTTTGAGGTTTCAAATTCCGACAGGCCCAGTAAATTCCCATTACCCTGGGGACCAGGCACTACGCATTTACCTCATCTCAGTCATTCTTCTCCTGGGACAATCATGAATCCCCCAACCCCCATCCCCAACCCCCCTCCCAAGCAAGCAAGCAAGCTAGCAAGCAAGCAACAAATAAACAAACAACAATCCCCCCCCCCCCTTGCCTCAAACACTCAACACAAAACAGTGTCGTTTTTCTCGTTGTTTTTTTTTAATTGCTGCATGATAATGCACAAACAACATAACATGCTAATGACTTTTCAATGAGGGGAACCGAAGGGGGAAACGGGGTAGCACACTAACATATTATTGAGCAGAAAGGTTAACAAATAGAACCAAACCTCCACACAGCGAATGAGTATTGCGAAAGGAAGGTTCGACTCGTATCTGTTTGATCATAAAGGTACAACATCATTACGACACCCACTAGAAACTAAATGTGTCCTTCCCTAATTTCGCTGCCTGTTCAGACAATTTTAGGTAAACCTTTTGAAGCAGCTTAAAAGATATTAGGAAATAAAGAAAGTAACAGCCAATACCAAACAAGAAGCTGAAACAAAACAAATAAATGAAAAAAAGGGAAAAAACAAAATAATTAATAAACAAAAACAATTTTTTTTAAAAAGTCAAGGACACTTAGAGATTTAGATCTTAGAAGGGACATGATCATCAGCCATAGGCTCTTTCGGGCTGTCCGTCTTCGTCATACATCTGCAGGATGTTGAAGCCCGCACATCAAAGTTCACGACATCGACCAACACAGTTTCTATCTCCTCTAAGGGAGAGTTCCAACACGTGGAGCATAATGCGCTAAAAGACTTCTAAACAACAAACGACACCGAGCGCCATGGCCCATCATTCTGGAATGTTCCTTCCGTTTCGCTTGCGTCATTGCACCCAGAAGGGACTAAAAGTCGGTCGGTTTCCTCTTTGCCAGATATTGCTTGATGCCGTCCGTCTCCGATACCTTTTTCCTGAGAGCCATGATCTCCGGGTATTTTTCTTCTAAAAACTCTGGTTGGTGTTCGAACAGACCCTGGGTGCCCTCGAAGATGACGATGTCAGCCAGAGACAGCTGTGTATGGGGGGGAGAGTGGTACAGTGTAAATTACGGCGTTAAAATCGAAACTGAACGGCTATCACCATCATCATCATCATCATCATCATCATCATCATCATCATCATCATCATCATCATCATCATCATCATCATCATAGCTGTAGTGTCCTTAGATACTGCAAATTTACTTTTTTCGCGCTTTTGATCAATATTGTTCAGAGAAATGCATGCAGAAATTTATCTTAAGCGGACACGAAAAGTATTGAACCAAAAACAAAACACGTAGATCTAACTAAATGTTTCTTTAAACTGCCAAGCGGGCGAAAAAAAAGTTGATTTCTTCAATGTACTTATTTTGACGACCAGCGCCTTATTTCACTACGACGGTACAAACCTTGCTTCCTACAGCAAAGCCGGACTTGTTCGCTTTGATGATCTTGGTGAACGCTCCGAGGAACAGTGGGTACTTTTCTTCGGACAACTTTTTCTGTCCCTCTGCCTGAGGAGCACAAAATAAGACAACGGGTTGTGTTAGTAAGGTTTTACGGCGCTCTCAACTGCATACGGTCATGTGAGCGCCAAGGGGTAGATGTCAACAGAGAAGTCCAAAAGGGGAATCAGGCTTACTCTGCTCACCTCTCTAGCCTCAGCACCACAAAGTCTGCTTCGACTATCAAGGCACCATGGAAACAGCTGATCACAAGAGAGTGACAAACACACAAAATGAAGAAGAGGAAAAATGACGATAGTAAGGATGAGGAAAGAAGAAGCAGCAGTTCTCCCTATGCTCTTACGGCACAGTATGAGCATGACATTGATAAATCAGCACTTTAGTAATTCTCATGTGCATACACACACATACACACACACACACAAACACACACACACACACACAAACACACACACACACACACACACACACACACACATACACACAAACTATCTCTGTCTCTCTCTTTCTCTCTCTTTCTCTCTCACTTTATCA